TTATTATTATTATTATTATTATTATTATTATTATTATTATTGCTATTATTACTATTATTATTATTATTATTATTATTATTATTATTGTTGTTGTTGTTATTATTGTTGTCGTTGATGTTGTTCTTATTGTTATTGTTGTTGTATTATTATTATTTATAATTTGTACAATTAACCTCCCCGTGGTTCGACCCCGGTCTTACCGGGTTATTTATTATTTCGACACTCCTGTACTTGAGAGAAGACATCAATCTTTTAGTCGTGTCATTGACCAACCCGGAGCTAGAATCGGGTCATGTTAAAGAAAAAATAGAAAAAGTCATGACCGGTGTGACCCGGTGACCTAGCAAAACCCAGTCACAAACTTAGTTGTAACTCGTTGACTTTTTTGTTTTTTTCCTAAAATAACATCATTTTGAATATTTTTTTAAATAGAGATTGACCCGGTCAAAACCCGGAACCTAGGCTTTGGACCAGACAGACCACCAGGCCGAATTTAAAAACTACGATCATGATTTCCTTAAGTCTCCCTCATTTAAAGGTTATCGCATAAAAATCATAACTCAAAATGAGATAATGCCTTTTATGGTGCCCGACACTATATTTGATCGTGGCATGCTCGCACCCAACTCTAAGTTAGGTAAGGGCACGTCCACACCCAACCCCACGTTGGGCCAAAGATGCGTTGCGCCCACCTCCATGTTAGGCTATAGGGGGGTCGGCCTAATCCCTTATTGGTCTAGGGACGCGATTGCAACGCGCTTTTGGATGTAGTCACAACCTGAACCCAACTCTTTCTAAGCTTAGTGTATAAGTAGAACCCAACACCCTTCAAATTGAGTGAATAGCTGAAAGGTAACTTCACATTAAACCTTCTGACACGACTAAAAGGTTGATGTCTTCTCCCAAGTGCAGGAGTGTCGAAGTAATAAATAACCCGGCAAGACCGGGGTCGAACCACAAGGAGGTTAAGTGTATAAATTATAGATGACAACAACAACAACAACAACAACAACAACAACAACAACAACA